AGAACCTTCACTATGGAAAACATGTCACCGTACTGCAGAACAGAACAGAAACGAATAAAAATTACTGGAATAATTGATAGCCTGGTTGTCATGACGAATACCCGGGTTCGATTCCCGGCATGGTTACAATGTATGTTTCTGGTGTCCCCCCCCCCCCCCTGTGATATTGCTTGAATATTACTAAAAGCGGCGTTAAACCACTCACTCACTCACTCACTCACTCACTCACTAACTCAATGGTCAGGCTTGGTCAGACGGCTATAAGGTCTGATTGTAGGTCTTATGTCCCAGTGGACTGGGTCTAGATCTGTGTCGAATCCCGGATAAATCTAACTATATCTCTGTCCCCGGGAGTTTGACACATTAGGTAGACTGTATTTGGGTGACGCTACAGTACAATGGGAATCACAATTTGGAATCATATCATTACTGTGACCTGTATTTAAGATTTGTCTTCAAAGTCTGTTACGTTTATGGAGGTGGAAACTTAAAAATCTTGTGCACACTGTATAAATTCGCGTAGCTCTGTCAAAGCAAAAACATATTCAAAGTCAGTTCTTATAAATAAATACGAAAACAATAATAACTCCACAGACAGCGTATTTGGTCATTAACAAAAATTACAAACTTCAGGCAACAATACGAAATTAGGGACATCGTTCAAAGCAATAATGAACACAATTTACTCTATTATCAGCCAATCAGGAAACACTAGTCCGTTAATGGGCTAAGGGTACTTTTTTTCGGTTTATTGATAATATTTGTTTGGTTAGCCAATCACATGCCATGGAATCCATTGAAATCTATTTAAATATATCATCATATTATTTCTTCAGTGAACAGTCATCGTACAATATCTGTGAAAGTGTGTGTTTTTACTTCAGATATTTGATTAGGTTTTTGTTTGTTTGTTTGTTTGTCAGCACTCGACGAAATTCCAGCCATATGACGACGGCTTTTCCTGGTCGCTAATACCAAAATACCAAGAGACAAAAATGTTGTCAGGGTTGATAGACGGTAGAATATGACCGTTGCCGATTGCCAATAAAAAGACACGCTAGTCTTTGTGTGAAGTAATAAAGATGTGGAACAGTACTGTACTATTCATGTTGATGCACATACATATTATTGATTATGAACAAACGCGAAACAGTGATGTAAGGGAGATAACTCGTTTGGTTTTAGTGGACGGATCACAGCATGGGGTAATATTCAGAACCTGTGTATTTGTTTATATTGTATTATATAGATATAAGACGTAATATTAGTTTTATTTATATGAATCATTGTATTTTGACGAGTTACAAACATTTTTCCCAGATTTCTTTCGTATCACTTCAATTGTATATACCTGACGTAAAATCTCCCGCACATCATGGAACAACTTCACATAATACACGCGTATACTTCATTTTGGCTACTGAATTGTCTGATTGCATGATATCGTAGTCCGATTGCGTAGGGCGATGCTCAAGATATTAATCACTGGTTTTGCTGGTCTTGTTTGTTTGTTGTTTAACGCAAAACCCAGCATTATTCCACCTATATGACGGCGGTCTGTAAATAATCGAGTCTAGACCAGACAATCCAGTGATTGACGTCAAGAGCATCGATCCACGCAATTGGGATCGATGACATGTATCAACCAAGTCAGCGAGCCTGACCACCCGATCCCGTTAGTCGCCTCTTACGACAAGCATAGTCGGCTTTTACGGCAAGCATGGGTTGCTGAAGACCTATTCTAACCCGGATCTTCACGGGTCTTGCTGGTCTTGACTTGATTATTTACAGGTTATGGTGATATAGCAGGAATTTGCTGAGTGTGGCGTTAAACAGTTCGCAAAGAGTCAAGGAGCTCCTTCATCTTATGGTGACCGAGAGGGGGCATCGCTTTCTCGCCTTCAATTGTGGCCGCGAGAAAGCGATAACTCGAGATGAGAAAGCGATAACTCGAGATGAGAAAGCGATAACTCGAGATGAGAAAGCGATATTCATATCTTGACTTCATTTTACTTTCTCGTCTCGTGCTTTCGCTTACTCGTCTCGTGCTATCGCTTTCTCGTCTCGTGTTATCGATTTATCGCTTAGCGAAGGCAAGAAAGCGATGTCCCCTCTCGGCCACCATATCATCTGGTGAACTTGAATAGCCTGTGGACGCGTGGTTGTGTGTGTTTATCGTCGCAAGCACCTGTGACAGTTTGTTACACTCTGAAGAAACATACGAGATGATACTGCACTATATTACCCAAAGGAGCAGGTATTGATGGTTCTATGAACCACTTAATAGTGAAATACAACAACAGTATAAATGAGCCCAAGTATCCACCACTACGGGAACAAACTGCCTTCCCCTTTGGAGATTAGACCGCCTCCGTGGTCTTGTGGTAGAGCGTCCGCCTGGATAGCGGAAGGTCCAGGGTTCGATCCCGGGCCGCGTCATACAAAAAGACGTTAAAAGATTGTACTTGTTGTTACCCTGTCTGGCGCTCGGCATTAAGGGGCTAAAACAAGGACTGGTCGGCTCGGAGTCAGTATACTGTGTCTGAGTGGGGTATTCATGTTAAACTGCGGCATGGTATCTCAGTGAGCTAGCACTATAAATCGGCATCAGTCCGGACTAGTACAAGCAGCCACACACACACATACACGTGCATGCACGTCGCTATATAAGTGCAATAATCTTGGACGCGACGTTAAACCCAATTTCACCTCACCTCACCTTTGGAGATTATCTTCCGCAGGCACAAAATACCCGTCGATAACATAACAATATAACAATACGCTGCGTGTAAGAAGGTAATTCACCTGAAAATCTCTTAATGCTTTTGAAGCATTGCTCCTCTAGTATTGCCTGGCCTGGGAAGCGGCTCGGTGAGGTTTCCCACTTACTGAGAGAGGCTCCCCTGGTACTGCTCCGTAACACAGGAGGGTGGGGATATCGTCCTGACATTAACACCCACCTGACACTCTCCACTTACGCTGTACCCCGGGTTCTCGGTAGTGCCACTTTATATGTACTCAAAAAGCAAAGACAAAAAGCCAGTGCCATGTTTATTAAGCAATGGGTAATAATGTATTGTATTTGTAAGCCCGTCTCAAATAGTGAGGCAGGGAGTGCATGATTTGTTTTCAAGCCGCTTTGACCAGTATTCCAGTTGTATCACGGCTAGTCGGGTTAGTGTTGAGAAAAGACTGAAGAGATGCAGGTCTTAGATATTTTCAACTTTGATCAAATAACGTGCATCGGTATGGTTCTGGTAAACAAATGGTCATTATCAGCTGACTTGGTTGATGCTTGTCATAGTATCCCAATTGTGTGGATCGATGCTCATGATATCAATCACTGGATTGTCTGGTTCAGACTCGATTATTTATAGACCGCCGTCATATAGCTGGAATATTGCTGAGGGCCGCGTTAAACAACAAACCAACAAACGGAAATCTGGGATTCGAAGAATGATCATAGGATCTGGCATCCAAAGGGACGCAATAGCGACTCGAAGCACCTTAGACGAATGGGCCAGCCGTGTCCTTTGGACATACATATACGTTAATGTAGGATAACAGTTTTAGGCAATGGTTGCAAGATGAGTTCAACTGTGAATGAGTGAGTTCAACGCCGCTTTTAACAGTATTCCAGTTATATCACGGCGTGTCAGCTTAATATGGGAGGAAAACCCCAAGTGATGCAGGTCCCAGACGTTTACTACTTCGGTGAAACCGACGAGAACGGGTATGGTGCTGACAAACCTAGAAACATAATCGGGGCGAACCGGGATTCGAACCCACAATCATAGGTTTCTGGCGTGACCAAGGGACGCAACTCTGCACAGCGAATCGCGGCGCCTTAGACAACTGGGCCACCCGTGCCCCCCGTGAGTTCGAGCTTGGAGCACACACACCAATGACTGACAATGTGAACGTAGATCCACGTCAGATATAAGTGTAAGCCCTTTTTGTGTGGTTCACTTGGCAAAAGAGAATGGCTGTGTAGAGTTGCATCCCTTAGACGTGCCAGGATCCTGATCACGGGTTGAGAACTATTCTAACCTTCGATTACTGCAAAGAAGTACAAACATACGCCAATTGGGTGGATGCGATGTAAGATATCGTCAAGACATTCTAAAACGATGCCACCCTTTTGAACCCCGTCACAGAAAATTTAGTGTGATTTTCGACAAGTTCTACTAAAAACGATCATGAATTAGGCATACAATAAACTATTTAGATACAGAATTCCGATCCCATGTTAAAATTTGTTGGAAGTGCTTCAGCCTTGATTTACATGGAGACGGACACTCCGTGGGTTCACCAAGCTCACCAAACAGGACACACGTCGTGAGTTCTGATACAGCAACTTGCTCCAAGATAGTGAAAAGTTGTACAATTATATCCATATTTGAAATACATGTTATAACCTTTATTTAAAGTCAAAACAAAGTACCCGTTCATTTTCTAGCAATTGTTTTTGACAGAGTACATGACAGTTTCTGGAGTTGTTCATTGTATAAATTCTGCTATCGCCAGTAAGTAGGGCACCAGATAACACGTGACTAATATAGGGCACCTCCTGATTAGGTGTGTTAGAGCCTCAGGTGTAAGCCTGATTTATGTGTCATTACAAACACATCACGTAGATATACACACTACAACTACGAGCGGAGCAGTTCGTTCACCATGATCTACAGCAATACATGAACAGGGAGTACTGTATTAATCTCCTGTGATTGTTGAACAATATCCACACATGCACAGAGACCTTTGTCCATGCTTCCATAGTACTACCTTCGTGGGGTTGCTTGGTTGGTTGGTTTGTTGTTTAACGCCGCACTCAGCAATATTCCAGCTATATGACGGCGGTCTGTAAATATTCGAGTCTGGACAAGACAATCCAGTGATTGATATCATGAGCATCGATCCTGGCAATTGGGATCGATGCGTGCATCAACCAAGTCAGCGAGCCTGACCACCCGATCCCGTTACGCCTTTTACGACAAGCATAGTCACCTTTTACGGAAAGCTTGGGTTGCTGAAGACCTATTCTACCCCGGAATCTTCACGGGTCTCTTCGTGGGGAGCTGGCCCCAGCAAACACTTGTCATAAGGGGATCTTTGAATATTCCCTTTCTCTGTCAGGAGAAGCCACAGCACAATCCTGCCTGGACAGCCAGCATATGCAATTTCGTTGTAAAGCCTGAGGTCAATTTAATTTATGAAAGCGTGTTTTGGACCATAAAAGCCCAGTTTCCACTCTTGCCGAACTAGGCTGAATTTCCAGGCTCGATTGTAGCGCCACCCGTGGCTATTACCAGTCATATCCCTCCTATTGACCAATCAGATTCCATCTCTCATATCACTTGTATTTGCTTCAAACAAAATGGCGTCGCCCTGTCAAGACGTTTTGGTCGATAACCAAGATCTATATTGTAACAAAACGGGTCTTACCCCGCGAAATGCATCAAATCACGTGAACACCTTGATTAAAAACATGAAGGAATTTGCAAAATATCTGTCGACGCCCAGTTGGCAGTATATATGCTTTGCGCATTCTGCAGTCCACCGAAATCTGCACGTTGAAATGCATGTTGTTTACAGACCGGATGTCAAGTTCGTTACGCGATTTTGATTGGACTTTGCATAGATTCGTTAGTCCAGCAAAAGGGTTACTCCATAGTTTCAGCCTAGATCGGCAAGGGTGGAAACTGTACTTTTATAGTTAGTTAACTCCCTTGCCTCGGGAAGATGGTTTAGTCCGGATATATCTTCAGGAAATAGTTTGCATCACTTTGGATATATCTAATGATAGGAATCATCTCCTGACGCACGAGAGATATGCTATTCATTCGAAAATGTTTTATATCAAAGTCAGCCAAGTGTATTAGCTGTTCACCTTGAAACCATTGCTTGGTCCCTTTGCATAATGTTAAACCAATACGCCCACAACATGAAGAGCACTTTTTCGCTTAACGTTTTTGACATCTTCGTTTTGTAAAACTGTCATCGGTTGTACATATGTCATCAGTCGTGTAAAGGTTGGAGATAATTTCTAACAGGTTTGAAATCGCGTCCAGTGTAGTGATATCTAACTTACCCTGAAAGTTCACCTTGTTCAAAGGGAGGTAACCGTGGCTGATTGATTGTGTTCATAAAAGTACCAATCCTTCCTCTGATTTTGTCATAGTTCTCGAGCTCCCTCGACACCTTGGTCCTAGTGATGAACTCGTCTTCCTCAGCCAACTGCCTCTTCGTGTAGGCCGGAAGTGACGTCTTCTGTCTTCCCGGCATGCCCAGTGTCGTAACACTTCGTGTCATGGTCAACCCCTGGGATTGCATGGGCGTGTCGCTGACCCTAGGTAGTGTTATCGAGTGTCTCTTTCTTTGAGGATTCTCGTCCGGGGACTTGATAATTTCCGTCGGTTGTCTGTGTTCTCCCTGTGATCGTGGACCTTGTCTTCGATCCACATCCTGCCCATCGCGTCTCATCTTGTTCATCTTCCGTCTCAGCAACGAACACGCACCGTCAGTGTAGGTATCCGATAGACTGCCTTTCTGTTCCCTGGCTTCAATGCTTTTCAGTAAATCTTTAAAATTGACCTTACAACGGTTGCTATCAAGTCTTTTACTTACGTTCATGTCCTGACGCATCTTCTTCACGTTCCGAATTAGCTGAAGTATTTTTGTCATGTCAGGCTCATCGGCACCCCCTGATTGTGTCCTGTCCGCTTTCGTTGTCGTCATGGCAACGAACTCGGGGTTCTTCTCTTCTTTAGCGGACAAGGACATCAGTATGGAAGGAATAACCTCGGACACCCGGCGGTACTCCGTCAGCAGGTACGAGTTGACAGGATCAAGCGTCTGATGCCGTGACGGTCTCGCGTCAACAAAGGGTGACGGTGACCTTGACCTTGGTTTTGAGGAGGACACGTTATGGCGCCTGCTGAGACGGTATTCGTTCCTCAAGGTGATCCTCTCTCTGTCCAGCTCCATCATCCTGAGTCTGGAGTTGAGGGAAATGGATTCGAGTCTCTTCTCCAGCGCCTGTTCCTCCTTGTGGTTCACGAACAGGGTCTTCTCCAGACGCTTCGGGTTCGGCTTCCTCTTCGGCTCCACCTGCTCCATGGTCTAGGACAAAGACACCGCTGACGTGTTGATGACGTTGAAGGACAGGCAAAACTAATCACCCAGGAACCCTTTCGTCATGGGCCACTCAACGGCATTTGAATCTGAAGTAAAACAAGGTATTTCTTTCAAATAGAATTCTTGATCCTGACCCAGAATGAACATAAGTCACATTTGGGTTTAAATTTTCTTTCTGTCATTATGGTCGTTATTTGTGGTATGAATACAAACGTTGATTGTCACTAACTTTGTTGGACGCTCATGCTGATCCTAAAACAAAATTCGAAAACGCCGAGCAAGTCTTCAGTAACTTGGCAAGTCTAGATTTCTTTTCAGTTTCAGAAAGTGATGATATCCTCTTGGGTCCTTTCTGTTATATACTAAAAGACAACTTAAAATTAAAGCAAATTCATTTAAGAGATTAATTGTAACCTTGGATTTGGTTTAATTTGCATTTATGGCAGATTCATATTTATTAATTCGTAGCTGACTTGCGCAAAGGAGGAATTAAACTACAGTTTATAGGTCAAGTAGAATTTTGAGAGCGTTGGAATGACGGTCTCTGAACTGGGTTATAAATCTTGGAGAGAAATCGTTCGCGCTGTCCGAGTTATCGTACGTGTACTATACCTTTAATGACATTTTATTACCTGGAATAAATCAACAACAACAACAACAACAACAACAACAACAACAACAACAACAACAACAACAACACAAAAAAACAAAAAACAACAACAGCATTTGAACACTCCTTGGTTAAATAATTCAAACATATGATGGAAGGCTTCCTAATAAGAAAATAAAATGATATCTCTACCGAAACAATGTGAAATCTTGAAAATAATACATTGTATGAGAAAATGAAAAACAAGAAGTCTGGGCTTTTAAAGCAGACACGGCTGCAGCATTCTGCTCAACTGGGCAAAGGCAAACTGACATATCATTATACTCTTTCTGTTTAATTATGGGACCGATCGACCCATGTTTTAATTCATAGTGGTTCTTAACACATGAAGTAGTTTCCTCCTGAACAAACATGTCGTGGATGCCACGCCCGAATAAATGCCCCTCACATGAAGCAATGGACCCGTGAAGATTCCGGGGTAGAGTAGGCCTTCAGCATCCCATACTTGCCGCAATAGGCGACTATTCTTGTCGTAAAAGGCGACTAACGGGATCGGATGGTCAGGCTCGCTGACTTGGTTGATACATGTCATCGATCCCAATTCGTGGATCGATGCTCATGATGTCAATCACTGGATTGTCTGGTCCAGCCTCGATTATTTTACAGACCCCCGTCATATAGCTGGAATATTGCTGAGTGCGGCGTTAAACAACAAACCGACAAAAACAAAACAAACACACGATGCAATGATTATATAATCTGACTAGATTCACGTCACAGATAACCTTCCACGTGACATGTCCTCGTAACGGTTAACTGACTAATCACTGCATGCCCTGCACTGCAGTGTGACTAATGTTTTCTGTCAGCTGACTTGACGTCATGGCGTATGGCCGTGGGACGATGTCTAGCGATTGAATACTCTGCTGAATACCAGCCTGTGTTAAAAGTGCCCACTTACGATACTTAGCAAAGTTAGCTAGGATTACGTGCATGGGAACATTATATAACAGGTGAAAACGTGATGTTATCACATACACTACAATATATAAGACGTCAAAATAAGGTGTGGCTTTCAGGAAAACACTTCCTTAGATTCTCTGTGCCTTCCTGCCTACCTGCCTACATGTCTATCTGTCTGCCTTCCTGCCTACCTGCCTATGTGTCTATCTTTCTGCCTTCCACCTACCTGCCTTCATGTCTACCTGACCCCCCCACCTGTCTACATGTCTACCTGTCTGTCTTCCCGCCTACCTGTCTGCTTTCCTGCCAACCTGTCTACCTGCCTTCCGTTCTACCCACCTCCCTACCTACCTGTCGATCTTCTTACCTACCTGTATATTTGTTACCTACCTGTCTATCTGCTTACCTACCTGCCTATCTGCTTACCTACCTGTCTATCTGCTTACCTACCTGTCTACCTGCTTACCTACCTGTCTATTTGCTTACCTACCTGTCTATCTGCTTACCTACCTGTCTCTCTGCTTACCTACCTGTTCATTTGCTTACCACCCCTGTTTCCAACTTACGTGTCTGTCTGCCTACCTGCTTTCCTGCTTACCCACATGTCTGTCTGCTTCCCTACCTACCTCCTTCCCGTCTACCTGCCTACCCGCTTACCTACAGCTACCTGCCTATAGCTACCTGCCTACCTGTCTCACCCTGTGAGGCCAGACACAGAGGGGATGGCGAATGTTATAACCGCTTCATACAATGATATGGAGGATACCGGGCTTGACACTGCAATGTTCTTGGTGATTTACAACAACAGCGTTGTCCACTCTTTGTGGGGCAATTGTGATATCTGAAGACTCTTGTTAGACAAGCATACAGCTGTATAATGACAACAGAACCGATCTAGGAGGAGACGTTATATATAATATCACCCCATGGAGATTCTAGAACTTACACCACCCCAAAATACACGACATGCAACACATGATGATTGGGCCCCTTTAAATGCTGCTGGGTATAGAAAAATATAGTAGAAATAGTGGAAGAACTTAAACTAGTCGGAGAGAATTATGTATGTAGGTCTTTCGACTATCACTGAAACAGTTGTAAATTCTCAGAATGTTTTAACAGAAACTTAGATGTCTTACCCGCCTACCTGTCTACCTGTCTGCCTACCCGCCTAACTGTCTACCTGTCTGCTTACACGCCTACCTGTCTACCTGTCTGCCTGTCTGCCTACCCGCCTACCTGTCTGCCTACCCGAATATCTGCCTACCTGTCTACCTGTCTGCCTAACCGCCTACCTGTCTACCTGTCTACCTGTCTGCCTACCCGCCTACCTGTCTACCTGTCTGCCTACCCGCCTACCTGTCTACCTACCCGCCTACCTGTCTACCTGTCTGCCTACCCGCCTACCTGTCTACCTGTCTGCCTTCTCGAATACTTGTCTACCTGTCTACCTGTCTGCCTACCTGCCTACCTGTCTACCTGTCTGCCTTCCCGAATACTTGTCTACCTGTCTACCTGTCTGCCTACTCGCCTACCTGTCTACCTGTCTGCCTTCCCGAATACTTGTCTACCTGTCTACCTGTCTGCCTACCCGCCTACCTGTCTACCTGTCTGCCTTCCCGAATACCTGCCTACCTGTCTGCCTGTATGCCTACCTGTCTACCTGTCTGCCTATCTGCCTTCCCGAATACTTGTCAGCCTGTCTACCTGTCTGCCTACCCGCCTACCTGTCTACCTGTCTGCCTTCCCGAATACTTGTCTACCTGTCTACCTGTCTGCCTACCCGCCTACCTGTCTACCTGTCTGCCTTCCCGAATACTTGTCTACCTGTCTACCTGTCCCGCCTACCCGCCTACCTGTCTACCTGTCTGCCTTCCCGAATACTTGTCAGTCTGTCTACCAGTCTGCCTACCCGCCTACCTGTCTCCCTGTCTGCCTTCCCGAATACTTGTCTACCTGTCTGCCTACCCACCTACATGTCTACCTGTCTGCCTTCCCGAATACTTGTCTACCTGTCTACCTACCCGCCTACCTGTCTACCTGTCTGCCTTCCCGAATACTTGTCTACCTGTCTACCTGTCTGCCTACCCGCCTACCCGCCTACCTGTCTAACTGTCTGCCTATCCGCCTACCTGTCTACCTGTCTGCCTTCCCGAATACTTGTCTTCATGTCTACCTACCCGCCTACATGTCTACCTGTGCTACTTCCCGAATACCTGCCTACATGTCTACCTGTCTGACTTCCCGCCTACCTGCCTCCATGTCTACCTGTCTGCCTTCCCGAATACCTGCCTACATGTCTGCCTACTCGCCTACCTGCCTCCATGTCTACCTGTCTGCCTACCCTTCTACCTGCCTACAGTTCTACCTGTCTGCCTACTCGCCTACCTGTATGCCTTCCTGCCTACTTGACTGCCTGCACTGCCTTCTCTTCTACCCACCTTTCCGCCTACCTGTCTGTTTTAATTACCTACCTACCTTAACCGAATTTAGATGTAATGATTCCGACTAACTAGGCATTGCTTGTCAACATTCTATCGTTGTAACTGTTAACATTCTAGATCTAAGTGTCGCCAAAATCACCATAGGCTGTCTCACACATACCTCCGGCTGCTTCACCATTTCCATATGTGTATCCTGCAACTGACCAGGTGTGGCGATACTTGACCAGGTGTGATGTTCAGGTGTGTTTTCCTGAAGTTGACCAGCTGTGATGCCCTGTACTTGACCAGGTGTGATGTCCTGAAGCTGACCAGCTGTGATGCCCTGTACTTGACCAGGTGTTGCGATACTTCACCAGGTGCTATGTTCAGGTGTGATGCCCTGTACTTGACCAGGTGTGGCGATACTTGACCAGGTGTGATGTTCAGGTGTGTTTTCCTGAAGTGGACCAGGTGTGATGTCCTGAAGTTGACCAGCTGTGATGCCCTGTACTTGACCAGGTGTCGCGATACTTCATCAGGTGCTATGTTCAGGTGTGATGTCCTGAAGTTGACCAGCTGTGATGCCCTGTACTTGACCAGGTGTGGCGATACTTGACCAGGTGCTATGTTCAGGTGTGATGTCCTGAAGTTGACCAGGTGTGATGCCCTGTACTTGACCAGGTGTGGCGATACTTGACCAGGTGCTATGTTTAGGTGTGATGTCCTGAAGTTGACTAGGTGTGATGTCCTGCATTTGACCAGGTGGGATATTCAGGTGTGATGTCCTCTACTTGACAAGGCCCGATGTCCTGTACCTAACCAGGTGTGACGTCCTGCACTTGACCAGCGGGAGTACCAGTACCTGAACAGGTGCGTTCTATCTGTCCAGTTGTAACGCATGTGCAGATTTCACAATGCACGTTCATACAATCAGACTTACAGGTTAGTCGACAAACGACCGTTTTACCAGTCAACCCAACAAAGGGCACTGAAACAGAAATCAATCAGTGGCGGGGTTCGATTTCACTGGAGAATTCCCCGCGGGGTAAAGAGACGTGTTTATTCAGCCTGTAGCAATCAACATTTGTCATAGTAAGAGCGATAACATTTCTCTCCCATTTCCCAAGATAAGGTTTCAAATTTCTGAACTTGACTGAGGTGCACAGCAGCTTTTGTCAGAGGGTATTTCCTACTCAATTATACCAAACACACATACACAGTGGCTGTTGGTTGGAGCTTTGCACTGAATACATTGTCAACAGTGTTGGTTCTTGTGAATGGCCTTATATCACACAATACAGTGTCAACAGTGTTGGTCTCTGTTAAAGGCCTTATATCATACAATAGATTGTCAAAAGGGGTGGTTCCCTTGAATTCCGTACAGTACGGGCGGTGGGGTAGCCTAGTGGTTAAATGGTTGGCTCATCAAGCTGATATTCAATATTGCGAAATGCGGCGTAAACAATACTCACTCATTACGTCGCACAATATATTGTCAACCGTGAATAGTCTTATACCACACAATATATTGTCAACAGTGTTGGTTCCTGTGAATGGCCTTATATCACACATGCTACAATTTATCATAAACAGTGCAGACTGGTGTTCATAGCCTTTATCACACATGCAACAGTTCATCATAAACAGTGCAGACTGGTGTTCATAGCATTATCGCACATGCAACAGTTTATCATAAACAGTGCAGACTGGTGTTCATAGCCTTTATCATACATGCTACAGTTTATCATAAACAGTGTAGACTGGTGTTCATAGCATTTATCACACATGCTACAGTTTATCATAAACAGTGTAGACTGGTGTTCATAGCCTTTATCACACATGCAACAGTTTATCATAAACAGTGCAGACTGGTGTTCATAGCATTATCGCACATGCAACAGTTTATCATAAACAGTGCAGACTGGTGTTCATAGCCTTTATCATACATGCTACAGTTTATCATAAACAGTGTAGACTGGTGTTCATAGCCTTTATCACACATGCTACAGTTTATCATAAACAGTGTAGACAGGTGTTCATAGCCTTTATCACACATGCTACAGTTTATCATTAGCATTGCAAGCTGGTGTTCATAGCATTATATTTTTATTGTAAATTTAATTTGTTTGCCATTTTAATAAAGACACGATAATGTGTTTCTGCCATGATAATGCATCGCACCAAAGTATCCTTGTTGAAACTGTTTCTATATTACCGATAGCTTCTTCTTGTCGGGCGGCAAAGTCGCGCTGGTCTTGTCTGACTTTATTGTCAGTAGTTTAAGAGATCACTGAAGACAGTATTCTGTCCCAGAATAATTATTGGTCAAATTATCAAAATTCTGCGGCAAAAACATAATCTTTCCCCTTCAGAGTAATACAAACTCATTTTTTTCGAAAACTCGATTGAAAAAACCCCGTAAACGAAATAATTCCACATGTATCATTATAAACGGTTGTCATTGAATAAGTCAACAAACATATAACAAAATGTTGACTGACGTTTGACCTTTTACAGTCATCGTCACAGCACATGATTGTCACAACGTAGCATTCTGCTATTAATTCCCTTGTCATGACATTTTCGAATAGTCTTATAAAAATTGCTGTATAAAACTAAAAAAGTTTAAAAAGGTTGTGTGCACTACACCAGTTAAAAAACATGTGACAAACATATATAGTTCAATAAAAATATATTGCATTTGTATTTAATGTTTCATGAATAACCAAATCAACATTCTTATTATCGTCAATGCGTTTCTTTCGTTGAAGACTGTATTATTTAGATATAGCTGATATGTAATTGCAATGGCAGTGATATTTCACTGCAATGAACATAACACTTTGACGGAACTATTGTCATACAAGAGCGACCTCCCCGCAAATTGTCTCCCTTTATCGTAAGTGTCTGGCCCGTACACAAAGTGTTGACTTCCTTTTTACGTTAGTTCCACATTGATAAGGCAAAATAATGAGATACTGTCATTTATAGAGTTAATATCGCTTCTTGTCGTTGTTATTCTCTTGAAAATGTTTGGTATAAACTGTAAAGTTTTCATTTAACTCGTCAATCGAGACTGTCCGTTTCGCAAAGGCCACTTTTGTTACTTGACCAGCGTGTATATCTTCGCTTCCAACAGCGGTCTCGTAGCTTTCAAGAATATTTGTTTTAAGTTGATTTTGTATGCAATCATATCCAAAAGTTTAGTAAATTCAAATATTTTTTATTACTTTTGTAAATATTTTTAAAGATTTTGAAAACTCGAAACTCGCAATTTCAAGGGTTGGTGAAACGTCCCTGGGTGTTTGGTAGGGAGAATTTACGTTTAAAGGCTTCATTTTCCGACAGACAACTATGTATTAATATATTATAAAATAAATAGGATATTCCATGTTTCTCTCATCTTGTGACTGGGGAAGGAGATATTCTCTACTCGTATGTATCCAATGAGTAGGTTTTCTTTCAGGTAAAACTGTCAGTCGATGAGATCACGAGGGACATTCACGAGTAGCTGTGCATTCATGTAAGCATCAGAATAATGGAATTTTAAAATGAGAGAGTTGGGTTTAAAGCCTCTTTCAACAGTTCAGTTATACCAAGGCGAGTCAGTTAAGGGGGCCGCCTCCGTGGTCTAGTGGAAGAGCGTCCGCCCGGAGAGCGGAAGGCTCGGGGTTCGATTCCCGGCCGCGTCATACCAAAAGACGTTAAAAGATGGTATTTGTTGTTACCCTGTCTGGCGCTCTGGATTAAGGGGCTTAAACAAGGACTGGTCGGCTCAGAGTAAGTATACTGTGCCTGAGTGAAGTAGTCATGTTAAACTGGGGCATGGTATATCTGTGGACTGGCACTATAAATCGGCAATAGTCCGGACTTGTACAAGAGGCAGCTATAAATGTGCAATATTTTTGTACACGACGTTAAACCCCATTTCACCAAGCCTATATCATAAGCATGTGTTTATTAATCACTATCAAATAGTGAAGATACCGGATGTTCGCGAAAGATTGACGTATCCTGGCACCTGTCACAAACACATGCAAAGGCAAGACAATTGTTCACCTGAAGTGAACACAGGAACAAGTCAAATTTGGGAATTGCATCAGACATAATTTTTGTCGTCATGTTTTGAAATGTTCTCCACATGCCAGCCATACAACGTTTTGAAAATTTTACTTAGGCCTTGCATGCTGTAACCATATGAGTCGTATGACGCTCTTTGAAATCTTATTTGAAAGAGCGTGCTCGATTATATCTCAAAAGTTGTGAAATGTAGACACGAAAGGCTGGAGCTGCTGGAATATTTCACAACGTAGGGAAAGTCGATTGTTGGAAAGTTGAATGTATAACGCCAGTGCCTGAGAATAACCAGTCTCGATTATCTACCGAAATAGATTCCACTGGAAGTAAAAGGCAAAATGCGGTTAAAATTATATGAATGGATCACTGAAAATCAGTGATGACACCAGGTGTTCGACAGAACAGAACAGAACAGAACAGAACTTTATTACGCCCAAGGCTACAAAAAGTAGCATGTTGAGGTTTAACAGGAGATGCGACGTATAATAGTGATGGCAGCTTTAATAGTTATTTAAATGTAGCCATTACTATTTTACAATATTTTGATAATTTTTTCAAGAAGATATTATTTTTACAATGAAACATCTGTTGAAGTTTAAACATAGATGGATGTACAATAAGAGTCTTTGGTATGTATAATTGTCTTACTTCTTTAAATTATTCACATTTAAAAATATAATGATATTTATCCGCAATGTCTTGGCTTGGAAACAGTACACTTTCTAGGGTGACAAAAGGGTGAGCATGTTCTGCCCTACTGGCACCGCCAACTCGCACTATTTGCATAAGTGTTGGTTTGTACAACACTGGCATCGTACAGCAGTACGGTGGCTGGAAACAATCGAGTCTTGACCAGACAATCAAGTGACACGATGGCTGCATTCTCTGATTTTGTTTAAGCTGAAAACGATTTTGAATTACGCCTGCTGTGTATAAGTGCAGAGATTCTGCTGCTTATAAGTCGAGAGAAGCTTTAAGAAATATATTCGTTTTGAAACATTCGGTTTTGAAAATTATATGGATGGATCACTGAAAACCGAAGTCACTATTACTACTACTACTGCTGCAGATACTACTACTACTACTACTACTACTACTACTACTACTACTACTACTACTACTACTACTACTAGAACTACTGTAGGCTGCTCTTGCTACTATTACTACTACTACTACTGCTGCAGCTACTACTACTACTACTACTGTTGCTGTTGCTGCAGCTACTACCACTACTGCCGCGCTGGCTACTACTACTACTACTACTACTACTACTACTACTACCTCTGCTTCTTCTACTGCTGCTGTCAACAAAATGTTTAAGATGGTATTTACATACTGCCAACGTTATATTCATTTTCCACGTACATGCACCAGAAAGAGATATTTTACGTCCGTTTCCAAAGGTTCGATTCATAAACAAATAAGATACTTTTTCCTTCGTCATGTTTACTTTTCTAACCAAACCCAAGCGTGTTTCATCCTTAATCACGGGTATGACTGTATGACATTACCCCCATGTATTTTAGCCTGTAGTTTGGGACCGGTCTTTAACTGTATGGCAGTGTCTTGGAGAGGGCCCAATTTGGGGACGGTCATAAAAAAATGGACATTTTGGAATTTAACGTGTCTTTGTTTTTTCTCTTTTCTGGTAGGGTCATGAACATATTTAAGAAGGACATGGAGAGGGTCAACACAAATATGACAAGTATTGGGGAGGGTAATTATTTTCAGTACATAAGTGCATCTGAAACCTCTGGGGGCGGTGGGGTAGCCTGGTGGTTAAAGCGTCCGCTCGTAACGCTGAAGACCCGGGCTCGATGCCCCACATGGGTACAATGTGTGAAGCCTATTTCTGGTGTCCCTGGTGATATTGCTGGAATATTGCTTAAACCGAGGTAAAACACACTGACTCACTCTAAAACCTCTGACACGCACGCACACGCACGCACACACACATACGGATGCACGCACACACACATACGGACGCACGCACACAGACATACGGACGCACAGACAAATGCACGCAAGCAGATACACTAACGCACGCACGTACGCACACACATATGCACGCACACCCGCACGCACGCGCGCATACACGCACACACGCACGCACACACACAGATGTAATTTCGGTCTCAATCATTGCGTGCTGATTTACGGCGTTTCAATTTTTCTTCCATGAAGAAAGGACTGTTTGGAATGGCTTAGATATGTTAACAACCTCTACCACGTAGATTTGGTTCGTAACTTGCTACTTAGCAACAAAGGGAGCTAACTCTGTTCATCACACAATCCTTGCATGCTGTTTGTTTGATGTTTAACGCCGCACTTTTCAATATTCCAAGCTTCCAGTAAAATCAAGTCTGGACCAGACAATCCAGTGATTGATATTATGAGAAACGTCCTACGCTGTCGGGATGCGATGACACACAATCAACCAGGTCACCGAGCCTGACAAGCCTATCCGCGAAGACGCCTTGCACGACAAGCATGTTAACCTGGCATCACAACGGAATGCCTCACAAACAAGGAGTGATAAATCTCATGGCAGTATGTGATATTATACTATTTTTCATCAGAGAAGCGTATTTGGTCTGATTCATAAGAATAACGTCGCACTTTGGTTAGATGATTAAGGGAAACCATACACTATTATGTTTCAACATTAAAGGGTTTTGTTTTCTAGGGGCGGTCGGGTAGCCTAGTGGTTAAAGCGTTCGTTCGTCATACCGAAGACCCGGGTTCGATGCCCCACATGAGTATAATGTGAGAAGCCTATTTCTGGTGCCCCCCGTTGCCGTGATGTTGCCGTGATGTTTTTTTTTCATAAACAATAACGTAACTTAAGGAAGAGAAATTATGGCTGTCAACTTCTTTAGTTTCAGGAACCTCATAATAAAGTAGTTGACATCCATAAATTCATAAATCCTTAAATTCATAAGTTGACATCCATGAATTCTCTTCATTATGGGGGCGGTCGGGTAGCCTAGAGGTTAAAGCGTTGGATCGTCACGCCGAAGACCCGGGTTCGATTCCCGACATGGGTACAATGTGTGAAGCCCATTTCTGGTGTCCCCCGCCGTGATATTGCTGGAATATTGCTAAAAGCGGCGTAAAACCATACTCACTCACTCTTCATTATGTGTATCACTTCTAGATGCCATCCAAAGACTTAATAACGTCACTATTTGGTTTGACGGTAACTGTAGTATATAACATTTATAACATACTGCCTCTCCCCACCGTTACTTCCATGACAGTACGCCGACGTATAGCTGGGGTGATGAGTGCGGCGTTAAACAAAGAAACAAACAAACAAACAATTTTGTTTGTTTGTACTATGTGCGACCGTGTAAGCAGTGGTTGAAACCGTGGCTGTCATTACAATGCACTTCCTGGTTGTTAGGTGAGGTGCTTACATCAAACGCACGTGGACATTTGGCGCAATATGAATGTTCTGTAAACTACGGTTATAACGAACTCAAAGGGACCACTTATTTTAGTTCGTTGTAGCCGTGGTTCGTTATGAACATATATACAGCATAACTACAGCAAATAGTCGGGACAAAAAAGTAGGTTCGTTATATCCGTCAGTTCGTTATAAGCGTGTTCGTTATAACCGTAGTTAACTGTACTTATTGAATTAATTCTTAATTTTCATTTGGATATAATACACACACACGCACAGAAAAGGTCGCATTAGCTTATACAGGGCAAAGGTAAAATATGAAACACACAGTTTATAATCGTTTTAACACTAATCCATATAACTACTGTTTGTTTGTTGTTTAACGCCGCTTAGAAATATTCCAGCTATTTGACGGCAGTCTGTAAATAATCAAGTATGGAAACGACAATCCGGTGACTGATATCAAGAGCATCGATCAGAGAGTCTGACCACCATATCTCGTTATTCGCCCATTACGACAAGCATGAGTTGCTGAAGACCAATTCTAACCCTGACCTTCACTAGTGGATATCACTACTGTATTGACATGCATCCGTCCAATCGTAGCTGAACATGTCTAACCAACAAGCAAACAAACAAACATGCTGGTGCATCTCTGACAGGACGTATAGAGTCAAGAAGGATATTGTGTAATATAAGATTTCTGAGACTAAATGTTAGTCTATATAGGTGTGTGTACTCTGTCAAATTGAGGCACCTTCATTCTCAAAAATGAGGGCACGACTATTGTCTGATTAGGGTTTGACCGTTTGATATCGTGGGGAGGGACTGGGATCTTGTTGTCAAAAAATATATTGTTACAGAAAAAATAATAATAAAAATAATATTCCTCGGGTTTTCTTTTTCAATAATTTTCAGTTACACTTTTTTTCCGATAAAATTCTAGCCCACCAGAGCCCCCACCCGCACCCCCCAGGATATGAAATGGTCGGTTCCCTCGCGGCATGTTGTACTGGACGAAAAACGAAACCATTATTTTTGCATTGCTTGCTTTTATTCAGACAATCATAGGCAGCGTAGGTCTGTGGATAATATGGAGCCTGCTTGAGGTCTATCCTGAAAGGAAGAAAGGTGAGTTATTAATTTCATGTCTTCAGTCACGAAAGTGTGCCTTTACTCACAGGGGGCACCGGTGACCCAGTCGTCTAAGGCGCCGCGATTCGCTGTGCAGAGTTGCCTCCCTTCGGACGCCCCCGAAACCTATGATTGTGGGTTCGAATCCCGGTTCGCCCAGATTATGTTTCTAGGTTTGTCAGCACCATACCCGTGCTCGTGGGTTTCACCGAAGTGGTAAACGTCTGAGACCTGCATCACTTCGGGCTTTCCTCCCACATAAAGCTGACACGCCGCGATATAAATGTAATACTGTTAAAAGCGGCGTTACACCCAACTCTCTCTGTGTCTCTCTCTCTCTGTCTCTCTCTCTGTGTCTCTCTCTCTCTCTCTCTCTCTCTCTCTCTCTCTCTCTCTCTCACACACAACTTTACTCACAGATATAATATGATGTAATACTAGATATAGTTTACTGAAAGGTTACTCGCTAATGTCCCAGACAGATAGTTATAATGTATTCATGAGTATAAACAGTTACTACATTCTACAAATATAAAACGTCAAAGAATAATCGGTTAACTGCCGCGGTTAACTGGCCAAACAGATTCCATTGGGCATAAAAGGTAGAATAGTGAAAATGATATAAACGGATCACTGAAAATATGTGACGACTCCAGGTTTTCGCGAAAAGGGCAAGCATGTCCTGTTCCACCTGTAGCACTCGCACAATTTGCACACAAGCGTATTACTGAGTGTTTTTTGCCAAACGCCGCACCGACCGATACCCATGGCATGCGACGGGGAAAAGCACAAAGTAGCCTCCGACCTGCCGTGGTTCTGATTATCGCAGTTATACTACCAAATATGGCGTTATAGAGCTGGATCGAGATTACAAAACACTGTATGCGGCCGTGATCCTAGCTTGGTGAGGTGAGGTGAAATGGGTTTAACGTCGCGTCCTCACTTACTTACTATTGGAGATTTAACGTGCGTTTTCGGACATTATGCGTATTTCGCACACGGTCGTCGCGTCCAAGATTATTGCACTTATATAGTGACATGTGTGTGTGTGTGTGTGTGTGTGTGTGTGTGTGTGTGTGTGTGTGTGTGTGTGTGTGGCTGCTTGTACAAGTCCGGACTGATGACGATTTATAGTGCTAGCACACTGAGATACCATGCCGCAGTTTAACATGAATACCCTACTCATACACAGTATACTGACTCCGAACCGACCAGTCCTTGTTTTAGCCCCTTAATGCCGAGCACCAGACAGGGTAACAACAAGTACAATCTTTTAACGTCTTTTGGTATGGCGCGGCCGGGGATCGAACCCGGACCTTCCGCTCTCCGGGCGGACTCTCTACCACTAGACCACGGAGGCGGTTCCTAGCTTGGTTTAATACTGATGTAGATTGCTTGACTAATTATGATTGAAGCACACTTGAGAACGGTTTGACTGTGACAAAATCGACCATTATAAACCACATCTATAACGTTCCCTACCCTTTTGATTGCTCTTAGGTTGAAAGATTTAGATGTGACTCACCAGAGCTGGCAGGAGCTGCTGTCACGTACTCAATGACAGTATGAGGGACGGTGACCTCTTGATCCACTTCTTGGTCTTGACCCTCCTCGCCCTCCTGTCTTCCACCGGTTTGGCCACACAACGCCTTGCTCACGTACTTCAGCAGCCTCTTGGACCTGGCAGGATCCTGCAGGACCTGGTGAAGTTCCCTCACGTCCCGCTTGGTATTCACCAGGTCATTCAGACCCTGCAAGACCTGCCCCTCCTTGTCGTACGTCTCCAACCAGTCCTCCATCTCCCGTGCCCTCCTCACCATCACGTCCGACTGATCATCCTCAAGATCTGTCTCAGCACCTCTTCCTTCAACTGCTTCTCTCTTGGCCGGGGAGTTGTCAACATGCTCCGTCTGCCACGATATGTCTCGGCCGGTTAGGCACTGGATGGGTTGTAAGGTAGCACACACCTTCGCCTGTAATGGCTTCAGAAGGGGTTTGACAATTGCCTTGAATTTTTTCAAGATCGGTTTGACAACTTTCTTCAGCACTGGTCTTATCTTCTTTATGATTTTTTTCACAGGGCGGAATATCTTCCTGATGCGTATTCTGGGAGCTCTGAACCTGAACCTCCACCTCCTCCTTCTCCAGGAATCTGCATCTTGGATGACAAGGACAGCCACCAACAGGAGAAACACCAGAGCTATCTTCATCTGAAATAACAGGAAAGTATTAAATGTATCTTTGTTGATTCATGCAAATAGTTTACTGGAAAAGCTAAGTTGCAGTACATTGGAGCTATTCAATTACGTCTCATATAGTGACAACGATTATGTAAAATGTTGCTTCTGACATACATTTGTATATCTGATACACACAATATGGTAATTTGACATTGTAAAGCAATGTTCTGCGACGTCCAATTTATTCGGATCACACAAAAAAACAAATATCGCCATTCGGAGAAAAATAATTCCCGTGAGCACATTAGTTTCAAGATGATTTTTGTGTGATAACTTTCTCAACATAACATGGGTAGTAGACATAGATTGTTGTTTAGCGTTTAAGCTTTTTGTCCAACGTTCATCATGTCTTGATCTCTGTCTCGTGAAAATAAGGGCGGTGGGGTAGCACAGTGGTTCAATGATTCGGTACGTTTTACTAACCTAGGTCTAGATACGACAGTCAGTACACTGTGAAACTGTGAGTGAGTGAGTGAGTGAGCGAGTATGGTTTTACGCCGCTTTTAGCAATATTCCAGCAATATCACGGCGGGGGACACCAGAAATGGGCTTCACACATTTCACCCATGTCGGGAATCGAACCCGGGTCTTCGGCGTGACGAGCGAACGCTTTAACCACTAGGCTACCCGACCGCCCCGATGTACATAATACATTAAGGTAGCGGTGAAACAGGTGGGTTTTAAAGGCACTTGAGTCAACTTTGCTAGAACTGTAATAAGCCCGAACATAGTCTCCCTTTAAGTCATCCACTAGACGCGCTGAAGACCCAGGTTCGAATCCCCGCATAGGTACAATCTATCGTCATTTCTTTGTGTCCACCGTCGTGATATTGGTGGAATATTGCTAAAGTCCTCGTAAAGTAAAAAATCAGTCACTGATGACAATAAAAAGGCCCACACAATGATTGTCATGAAATACTTAGGGGTAGATGCTAGAGGTAGATGCTGGAGGTAGATGCTAGAGGTAGATGCTGGAGGTAGATGCTAGAGATAGATGATAGGGGTAAATGCTAGAGATAGATGCTAGAAGTAGATACTAGAGATAGATGCTAGGGGTAGATGCTAGAGATAGATGCTAGAGGTAGATGCTAGAGATAGATGCTAGAGGTAGATGCTAGAGATAGATGCTAGGGGTAGATGCTGGAGGTAGAAGCTGGAGATAGATGCTAGAGGTAGATGCTAGAGGTGGATGCTGGGGGTAGATGCTGGAGGTAGATGTTAAAGGTAAATGCTAGAAGAAGATGCTTGAGGTAGATGCTAGAGGGAGATGCTGGAGGTAGATGCTAGAGGTAGATGCTAGAGGCAGATGCTGGAGATAGATGCTAGAGGTAGATGCTGGCGATAGATGTTAGAGGTAAATGCTAGCGGTAGATGCTAAAGCCGAGCTGAAATATAAAATTGTAAAATTGTTACGTGCATAAAATACCTCCCCAGCAGAAAAAAAGATGAAAAGAGTGAGGGACAGACACAACACTTTACCTCTCTTGTCCAAGGGTTTTGAGGTGTACTAAATATTGTCGCTTCATTTATAGTAAAACAGTGTTATTTTTCACAAGTACATGTTGGGGAACATGAGGTTTGATCATGCAGGCAAACAGATTCTGAGCCCTCCTTCCGTAATACGAGGAGCAGGAACCTCCGGATGGAAGGGCAACAGCAGGCGTCGGCATCAGCTGATGATAATGGCTATCCTGCATCAGGAAATATGGAGATGCATCGTACACTCGAAGTCTGTGGGATCATACACAAATTCGACTTATCCGTAGTTTGAGTGACGGATGTCAGTGTCGACTATAATTCAGCCAAGACCAAAGCATACCATACATCAAACAAAACACGTCACCGCCAGAGAATAAACAGCCTCGATTATCCGACCAAACAGAATCCACTGGAGAAATAGTCAAAATAGGGATGAAAAGTATATGAATGGATAACTGAAAATCAGTGACGACACCAGGTGTTCGCAAAAAGAGATTGCAACTTAATGGAGTTCGAAGTGTCACAAAATCAATGCGATTTCAGAGTCCGTTTCAGAAATAAAAGGTGAGGTGAGGTGAAATTGGTTTTAACGTCGCGTCCAAGATTATAGCACTTATATAGCGACGTGCATGCACGTGTGTGTGCTGCTGCTTGTACAAGTCCGGACTGATGCCGATGTATAGTGCTAGCTCACTGAGATACCATGCAGTAGTTTAACATGAATACCCCACTCAGACACAGTATACTATCTCCGAGACGACCAGTCCTTGTTTTAGCCCCTTAATGCCGAGCGCCAGACAGGGTAACAACAAGTACCATATTGTAACGTCTTTAGGTATGATGCGGCCGGGGATCGAACCCCGGACCTTCCGCTCTCCGGTGGTCTCAGAAATATAAGTAAATATTGAATTGGAATAAGGACTTGAAATGAAAGATCTTGATCGACTAATAATATGTTCGTTCATATTCGCACGTATCAAATTTGATATTTTGATCTTTTACAACATCTTTGGTGAGTGTTTTCACTGAAGCTCAGTCAAGGGACCTTTACGGTCCTGAATCATACAAAATTCTTTCGCTACCAATATTATTTAAACGTGCATTTTCTGACGTACGTTGTGCAGTGAATGATGCTGGTTTGGGCCTTTTCATTCTAAAGGATCTGAACATTAGACATTTACCCAAAAGATGTTCTAGTTTCAGATTCAGATGATTATCATGCTTGGTATGAGTGAGTGAGTGAGTGAGTGAGTTTGGTTTAACGCCGCCTTTAACAGTATTCCAGTTACATCACGGCGTGTCAGCTTAATGTGGGAGGAAAGCCCGATGTGATGCAGGTCTTAGACGTTTACCACTTCGGTGAAACCCACGAGCACGGGCATGGTGCTGACAAACCTAGAAACATAATTGGGGCGAACCGGGATTCGAACCCACAATCATAGGTTTCTGGCGTGCCCAAGGGACGCAACTCTGCACAGCGAATCGCGGCGCCTTAGACGACTGGGCCACCCGTGCCCCTACCTCTTATGTGAAAACAACCAGGCTGCTAGAACTTCACGATCCCCCGTATAAAGCTGACACCCATTTCGTTACTTTATTGTGTACAAGGCGGCGGTGATGGTCAACTCAAGTAATGTGTTGATGATGTTATTTTCAAATCACAAAATGCTGATGATCACGTGTTGTAGTACCAAGACAGAATACAATTTGTATTCTTTGTTTTCAGTGTGCACTTTTGTAAGGTTTAATAATTAAACTACACGATTTAAAACATAACCCGTACTTATTAAAGTGCGTTCCTTTATGAAGAACACTTTACATTTTAACACGCTGAAAACCCGGGTTCAAATCCCGACATCGGTACAATGTGTGAAGCCCATTTCTGGTGACCCCGCGGCTTAAAAGCATACTCACTCACTCACTTTACATTTTAACCATTGTCGTGACTTTCTGATAGGGGCACGGGTGCCATATTCGTATGAGGAAATCCCATGGGTACGCCAGAAGCCTGTTATCGTGGTTCGCCCCGATTATGTTTCTAGGTTTGTCAACATCACACCCGTGCTCGTATCTATGAACAGGCTCAACTTCTTGAATGTGTAAGTTGTTAAAGAAGTATTCTAAAAGTTAATTCCGCACATTACTAATACTTGTTGGAACGGTAGCATTTTACATTTTTACGGTGTTCGATGCAATTCCGTATTTTGACTACCATATGTTCATGTGTTTTGTCAGGTGAAGAATTGACTTGCCGTTGCGTGTGTTTGTGCCGAGGCAGCCGTTGAAGCTGGATAGGCTCACCTTTTCATGAACACCTGGTATCATGACTATTTGATAGTATTAATAAACACAAAATCATGCTTTTGATATTGTCGGAAAGTACAATGTTATCTACTTTCAGTAGATATTTCTGATGGCTTTGAATAAGGTTTATCGCTTTAATTTACAAAGCACGCTTGAGATTGAAGTTGTTCCCTGCTTTTCCCTTTACTATCGCAGCATCTGCTTATCTTTTCTGTATGCAATGTTCACTTTAAAGAAGGTGATGCTTATTTGATTGCATCACCTGTTTTTATGACCTGTTTAATTATATATGTAAAAACATTTGTCCCAGAAAATTCGTGGAAAAAATAATTATGCTCCAGACTGTTGAAAAAAAAGAAAGAAAAAGAAACTGTCTGAAACAAAAGTTATATTGTTGCAAATTTTTTTTCCAAAAAAATATTGACACTCACAGAATTACTCATGATATCGAGACTCATTAAGCTGAAAAATATCTTGTCTTAATACCCCAAACCATCCCCCCCCCCCCCCCCCCCTCCCCCACCCCCATCCCTAAGTATACTAGATAAAACAATGCAATACGTGCATGGGATATTTTCTAACAGGAAACTATGTTATCATTTACACTATCTATCAACATGTTTATGTTCATAGGCAAGGGTTGTAATCAAGCGTAGTTTCAATAGCTAAAAATCACGAAAGGTGAAGAACAACATTGCCATCTGTTTCCAACATATCATAATATTTTTGACAGACGGATGTGCACACTCTGACATGACACGCGATGTGATGTATACAGAGACGAGGTTTAACCATATGGCCAACGTCCATGTGTAATGCTCCAGTGTACTGTAACACATGAACGTTTAAGCACCAAACCATGTTTTTCAACCGAGTGAGTGCGTTAAATCTTGGAGATGATATTAAACATAAAAATGTTTGGAATTCGTTGTCATAATAATACAGATGGACATACTTTTCAGTCAATTTGTAAAATAACTGAATATTCAGGCGTTTAATAAATTTCCTGAGTGAAAATTTTGCACATTTTGACTGTAAAAATATAAACACGATAAAATAAGCAATGCTCAGGAGAAATATATACTTTGTGTTGCAAGGCAAAATAGTGTAAACGAAAATCGCACAATTACCAAGCAAGTGACTTATCAAACTTCGTCACCATTACCGATGCTACCCCACAAAGATTTCCTTATTATTTCACAAACTGT